ATTCTAATAAATTGTTTTTTTTTTCAGGAGGTGCAAGATACAATTATGTACATAATTATGATATTTATACATTTACATATTATATATATATTCCAATCTTAAATTGGGTATGTTGTTTCTTTTTTTTCTCTTAAAAAGAGGAATAATGAAAAGTATTGAGTTTAGTTTTTTTTTTCGTATTGGGATAAAAAATTTATAAATAAGTTGAAAAGTTCTATTGGCCACTAGAACTTTTCAAGTTATTTTTTCGATAAGTTAAATGTAATCTATTTCGTATGGAATAATGTTTTTTATTTCTTTCGTACTTATGTTATGATATAGAAAGCGATAGATACTATCTTGTATCACAACCTGTTAGGTGGCTTCGTAACCTAACCCAGGGAGATTTCTTGTGCCTGTTATAGCGAAAGCAGTGTAGTACTCGGGAAGGCCGTCTGTTCGTAGGTCTCTGTCGTCGTTATTGTACGATATACCTACGATCATGCCCAACCAGTCCGGCATGGTCCACTCTGCGTGTACCCATATTGGGCTTACAGAGAGTCTTCCTGGTCGCGCGTACGCGAGAATGAGCCGAGAAAAACCGGAAAAGCGAAATGAATTGTAATTCAAATAAATTTATTCAGCAAATCGAAAAAAAAACAAATTACATTTTATTTCGAATTTTTTCAAATGTTTCTTTATATTCCAAAATATGAGGATGATTTGAAGATAATTTTTCTTGAGCAATTTCTACGGCTTGTTGAACATTTTTCATTGCCATATTATATTGTTGAGTAGATAAATATAATTTTGCCAAATTGTGATATACTACAGCTAAATCAGGATGATTTTTTGGTAGTTTATTTTCACGTATTTCTAATCCTTTTTGATAATATGTCAATGCCGTTGTATAATCTTTCATTTGACGATATGTTTCACCTAAATTTATATATGTCGTTGCACATTCGAGAGGATTACATTGAACATTTTCTTGAATATTTAATGCTTTTCGATGAAATGAAATTGCCTTCTCATAATCACCCATTAAACGATGAGCATCACCAATATTACTGTATGTGATAGCTTGATTGGGATGTCTTTCTGGTAATGTATTTTGATGTATTGTGAGGCATTTTTGAAAGTAATCGAGTGACTTTGAATAATCTTTCATATTGCGATAAACTCTTCC